AGGAATGCTGCTAAAGGGTGAGTGTCAAAGGTCATGACAGAAAAGTGTCAATATGAACATTAGCATTGTGTTGACTGGTGATGTTAAGTATTCGCTCCTGTGGTTTGTCAGTGGACGTTCTCACCTGATGGTGTTCCATCCAGATGCTGGTGTGTAGGCGTTGTAGAAAATTGGGATGCAGCCAATCTCAGAGAAGACAGTGGAATACATGCCTGAGGGCAAGAAGCAGAAGTTACATGTGATGCAATTTATCTTTATTCCTATATACATGAATTTGCTCTTTTCTTAGCATGCACACTAAGCTTCACAAGAATATTATAAAACATGTATTGTTCAAAACATGTTTAGCCCTTTCTTACATAAACTAGTTCACAAAGTTTTTGTTTGATTTCATAAATTCAGGGTTTTGTGTCTCTTATATTAGAATTTAGTTTAATCTCATGAGCTGATGTTGGGCAACCAACATGGAAAAAGAAGTTTCAACTCACTAAATGTTTACTAATTATTCAGCAGAAGTGGAAGTTATTGGCATTATTTGCTCCGTTACTAAGGACATGAGAAATTGTTATTCAATGAGCAGCCAAACCAATTTACTAATTGTCAGCAGGCTTTCCCGAAGCTCCCTCAGCAAAAGCAGTAACAGATGTAACATTTCTGATCTCAGCTGGTACAAGTCATGACTGAGTTTGGGAGCTGGTACTGCAGAGCTTCAGCATCAGGGACAGAACAGTCCAACAGCACCAACACTTCAGATATGTCAAAACAGAGACAGATTTCTTCATCTAGGGTTCAATGGACCCTCTTACCGTTGTTTGGCAGGTTTCCATACCAGGTGTTGACTAGCACACCCATTCCCCAGGAAGAGGAGGAGCCCAGGAATATCTGACCCATGAGTTGAGCATCAGAGGGCACTTGCATGGGAACGAAGGCTGTATCCAGCATCATCTTCTTGCATGACATTTTGCTCCAGTTGATCTCATAATAGATTTTCTGAAAGAATAAAGAGGGAAAATGATTGCTCAGATCTTCCCATCATTGTTACTTGCTGGATAAAAACAAAGTTGAATGTGTCAATCAACAGTAACGCTTTTACTCTTCATGTTTACTTTTTTGTTATTAGTATTCTCTTGTCTTCATTGTGCTTAATTTGCTGAACACTGAACAAAGCTTCTGCAGGAATCTGTTAGTGGTTGTAGTAGTTTTCATTTATTGTCACCATTTATGTATTTGTTATTTTTAACGGACATTTATAGATTGAATGCAGAATTAATTATAATCAGTATTATTGTCATACTTTGAGATGAATTGGGGAGATTTAGAGATGAAAAAGCTTTAATTTAGTTTGGTATGTTATGTTTTCTAATGCTATGCTATACTTTGTAATGTAAAAGTGTGCTATGTTATGCTATGCTATGTCACACTGCATGACATTAAGTTTCATTATGTAAAGCTAAGCTAATCAGAGCATAGAAGGAGTTGTAACATTTTCTGTTTTTGATATTTGTTGTATGTTTGTTCTGGAAGAACTGGAGGAGTAATCAAGGGAGTAAATTCACAGAAAACAATATTGATAATGAATTATTGAATTGCTTGATTTGAATGTCAGAATTAACAACTTTTCTCTCATTTCAATGCAAAGTTATTAATATTGGGCTTTATATTGTTGGTCACACAAAACAAGTGATTTGAATATAACATTACATGGGGCACATTTCACTTTTTGTTTATCTTAAAGTAAATAATTCAGTAGCTATATTGATACTAAAGTACTACTACTACTAGTTAGTTGAAGCCATGCCTCGGTATCATTTTCTTTACATTTGATGTGCTGGTAAACAATGTACAAAATAATTATAGTCAACCTCAAAAACTACTTTGCACAAAATTGTTTAGTGTGTAGCACCACATTGGCATCAGTGTGTGCACTGCTAATGAGCTAAGATTAGAGTAGAGACCATCATTTGTGGTCATGGGACTGTATTTCAGAAGCAGAAAATGAAAGAGGGAATGCTGGGAAATGCGGAAGGCGATTCTCAGCTCACGGGACATATATATGTACTAGTTAAGTTTTGGTAACAGATTAGATTTTTCTGTCTGTCTCACAGCTGAGGTGGAAAAACACCTGTGACAAAGTCCTCTGAGTGCGTCATTTATTCAGGATGAAATACCTGGTTGAAAAGCATGAGCTGGTCCAAACCAGAGGTCTGATTCCCGTTCATCACATAGGTTTTAACCCGCATCCTCTGACCAAATCCATCTAAGCTGATTATTCCTGTTGACATGAGGCCGTTGCCAGTCATCTGAAAAATAGAGACGAAGAGTAGAAGAGTGAAGAGAGAGACGATAGATACATGGTTCAACCCAGAAGTGAGACAGGTCAGTGACTCACCACAGAGAAGCCTCCACTCATCAGCGGTGGAGAAACTGCGGAAGAGGAAATCACTGATTTATTAAAAAAATCAGTTATGTTGGATATTTAATACAAGAAAAGATTTAATAAAATATCTATCAACTTCTTGCCATACACCTTGAATTAGTTTACCTTAAATTCCAACTTCAGGCTCATAAAACACAAAATCAACATGGCCTGTGCTGTCACGATATGCTTTAAATGCCGGTCCCCAGAGTTTCTCTTTGTTTGATCTACAGAAGGATCTGAAATTGTCTGGTTACTATTGGGGAATTCAGGTCTATTTTAAAAGATGGAGAAAGTATGATCACTGTGGATACGTTTACATTTTTATTGAAATCAGTTTGAAAGAGTTTACCTGAGTTGTGTATGTAGTGTATGACAGCTGTATTGTCTGATTGTATTGTGTTTACTGCTGTAGCAAAGTTTCGCCTTCTTGGCTGAGTCTCTTCTTATTTCAGTGATGTAAAAATTGAGTAATTGGAACAGATGTAGATTTTCCTTTAAATTCCAAATCAACACTTACCTGTAAAATCTACAATCGTTAATTCCTACACAGAGAAAAGAACTGTATGTTGTTGTTATGTTGATGTTATGAATTTCAGTATAGTTCAGGAGAAGTAAACACCATGAATCTGCACAGACACATCCCCCCTCTCTTTTAGCCACTTTGTTTCTCTCTTATGGACACATTTCTGCAGTAACAGTCAAACTTTTCAATTTACTCTTTTTTAATTCGGTTTCACACAAGGTGATGATATGACGTGAAACTACACACTGGATTTCCCTTATACTCACCACAGGGTTTTGGATCTTGGGCGACGGCAGCTGCTAGCAGCAGGCTGAGGCAGGACAGCACGCTGATGAAGTTCATGATGAGGAGGTGTAGGAGTCTACAGGAGGAGAAGCTGGGAGCGCTCTGCATATATACCTGCTCACAGCTGCCCCTCCCAGTGAGGGGGGGGGGGGGGGGGGAAACTACCAAATATTGAACCATCCTCATGTAGAGGTTGGTGTGACATAAGACCATTGATAAGATTAAGTAATGCATCACATGCTAGTTTTTATGTTTAAGCTCATCAGATTTTATGGAAATATATTGTGTTTGCCCTTCAGCCTGAACAAGTGCATTTTTAGACGCTGTGTATAAAGCTCTTTATATACAGTCTATGGTATAAAGCTTATTTTCTATTAGCCTTTGTTTTGTTCTTCTTAGTAATTATAAAGAATGTAAATTATTATATGGAAATATCTTATGAACATTTAATTGATTTGCTTTGCATATAGCATTATTCTATATGAAGGTTTGCTTCAGTTAATGTCATTCACACCTACAGATTCAGCACCAAAGCACAATTAGCTGATTGTTATTTAATTCCATTTTACAGTTTTAGGTCTATACTTTAAAGTGTCATATATATTTTCATTCTAAATTTTTTGTTGTATTGTTTGTTCTTTCTAATTAATTGATATGTTTGTTTTAAAATGCACCAAATATCATTGTATGCAGGGTCTTCACATCAACAGATCATGGTGTTTACCCCTCATGTGTTAACAGTCCCATGAGGCAGCTGTGTTCAAGCTGCCTCATGGGACTGTTAACACAGCTGTTAACAGTCCCATGCCTTACCAAGACATCCATGTGCTTTTTTCTAAGCCTTCAGAGAAAGAGTGCATGTGAACTTGTGAGGAGGTTACTTAACCTGGTTTTAAAGTAAACCCCTACTGTGGAAATTCTTTCTTAAATTAGCTGAGAGCTTGAATTTTCGAATGATAAACTCTCAAGTATTGAGAGTGTGAACAGAGCAGATTTGTTCTGTGACATTTCTCTGGAGTCTGCGTCCACTGATAAAAATTGACAGCGTGTGCAGGGTTTGTGCAGATGTCATGAATATCATGGATCATGTGAAAGTTGTAAATGTAATTAAATAAAAATGGTGTCATCGTCAGGTGCACCATCCTTATCTGCAGGTTCAGAGAGTCACTGAGATACAGTCGACCTCCACCTCAGTCGAGTCAATAACAGTGATAGTATACACTTTATTCATCATATAGTCAAGACGGATTAAAGAAACAAGCCGTGACTTCAAATTGCTTCATGTGTATGTCGAAATTTAAGGAATTTGTTCTTGATGTTATCTGTGTGAATCTTTCATATTCAGTCATGAAATCCGATCAGACTAACTAAGATGATCTGTCACAGTTTGATTTCTGGATGAATTTCAATTCAGAGAAAACACAAATTGTTCCTATAAAAATCTCAGTATTTTCCTTGTGATGTTTTAATGTGTTTTGTTTTATTGGACCTGCTTTAGAGATATTTTACCAAAACATGGTTGTTTCTGAACAAGAAGTAACGAGGATAACCATCATCTACAACAACAAACTCTCCAGAACTAGGTCATCAAGGAAATGACGGTATTTTACATTTCCAGGAATACTGTGAATGTGAACATGTGGTTCCACAGTAAAAGAGATTTCATACCAGCTTTCATTTCTCAAAATGAAATAAAGCAAATTTGGGAGGTTGCACATGCTTTGCATGGAAAAGCAAACACCATTTGAGCAAATAGCGACTTCCCTGCTGTGAACCAAGCACAGGTGCAAACTTTCAGATCTGATCAACCTGTGACTCTAAAAACATGCAATAAGAGAGGGAGAAAAGAAAAATGCTACAAAACATGATGCATATCATATTTATTTTCCAATATGCATGTTACATTAGCATCACTTTTCATTTAGATTCCCTTGGCATATCAAGTTGGATGGGAATTACTAAACCAAACATCTTCGCAGCAAGGAATACTTCAAATGTTTCAGTGCAAACAGCTAAAGCCAGGTTAATTGAAATAGGAGAGCCCCCCAAAAAATCTTAAAAAAAAAGAAAATTCTTTTTTTAAAGCCAGTAGTTAAGAATTATAAATTAAAAACACAAAGCTCATCTGGTGACCATCCGTAAAAACAGAATGGATTTTCTGAGCAGAAACCCTTTTTTTGATTAGGTTCCTTTGTTTTGCAGCAAAGCCTCTATTTACAAATGTCCACTTCATATACATATATTAATATTAACACTTTAATAATATTATATAATATTGTTACAATTTCTACATTAGGTCCCTATTAATGAAGTGTTTTTATAATTACATACATGAGGTGAAGTTCAGTCCATTTGGAGTTTAGGATCACTCAAGAAATCTGCGTATCCACTTCAAGATGACATTAATCTCTTGCAATGGTTTTGGAGATTTCTGTAACTGTGAAATCAGTCTTTTCTTTGTCAGATATGTTGTTGTACACAGGAACTCAGAGCACTGTGCGTGTGACGTTGTGTGAGTGGAAGGTGGTAGCGTGTTCGTCGAATGATCCGCAGTCACAGTTCATCAAACACTGCTTGAGAAGGCATTGTCTTTATCTGGCATCATCTCAAACAGCAGAAACATAACATTTCAAGCACACAGACTCCGTGTCTCACATTCTCTCCACATTTAAAAGTTGAACTCTCTGGTCCATCTCTTTTCTAATCTGCACACCTATATCACTTTGTTTTCATAACCCACTTTTCCAAACTTTCTACAGCTTAAATTAAAACATCTTTCTTTTTAAATATGAATCAACCCTTGTCCTGCTTCTAAACACCGGTCCAGATCAAAATAAACTCTACTCTGGTGTCTACATGGAGAACTATTCCTCCTAGAACTTCCCCTACTTCACTCCCTACTTCACATCTATGCTAAACTTACCTAACTTACTAACTACAGTTCAACTGTACGAGTTTCTTACTTTTCTTTTCAGTGCCCTGCTACTATTTCAGCAAATCACAGCTTTGCTCGTGTACAAGTCATTCTAACATAGAAGCAGTAAACAACCCCCACACAAGAAATGAATTGACCATGAAATACTTCAAGTGCAACACAGCTGTATGTACATAACGATTCAGAGATGCAGATGGAACATGCAGGCGATTTGAAGTGGGGAACTGGAAGTGGATTTGTTGAGTTGGTCGCTGTGGGAGTTCATGTTTTGGCAGGCAGGGTTTCTGGCAACAGGTCAGGTTGTTGCAGAAGTGATGAGAAAATCACTGAGTGGCACATCCTTCGAAAACCTTTCTCATTTGGATGATCTTTCTGACCCGGTGGTCAGAATGCGACAGATGATGCCAATTCAAGACTTGATGCAATTAAGGTTTAACAGTTTAGAGAATCAACAGATTCTCTACAGAATAACAAAAACAGTGTTTAAGAGTTTCAGAAGTTGCAGGAGCAACGTCCTGTAGCTTTGATGATTCATGAGCCTGTGATTTGTCCCTTGTTCTTGGTTAAACTCCGTCTACTTTCCAGCGGCCCTCTGTCAGCAGTCTGACACTTCAGAGGTGTCACTGGTGAGTTTCCTGCGTTGCCTCACAGATTTCTCCTCATCCTGCAGAGGAAAACAGAGGGTCAAAATTATAATGCTTTCATTTTTAAAGAGCTAAAAAAGTGATTTCTTAGACAGGAATTCCTGCAAACGCCCTTTGATCTGGATCTGCACAAAAATTGACTGGGTTCACCCATGAACCATACCACATCCTTAGCTTACAAACAATCAAACAGACCAACCAACAAACAAATGGACAGGGGTGAAAACCTCCTTGGCTTCAGGCTTTAGCTACACTGACAATACTTGTAAGCAGGATTCATTAATTGTTGGACTTTTCGTTAACAATAAGAAATCTATGGGATCACCAGACATATCCTTAGTTCTGATCTTTAGAGCACTTACAGTCTGGAAGACTCCATTCTGCCCCCACTCTCCAGGGGAGTGATCCTCGGGGTCCTCTGCATCTTCCTCCTCTTCCTCACCCTCCTCCTCTCTCACCGTATCCATCCCGTCTTCCTCGTACTCCGTCAGACAGTCCGACTCCTCCGCTGAATGGAAAGATTAAGGGGAGATACCATGTGAATAACATGACCACTTATTTATAACATGCATTAAATCCAACATGACTTTGAAGGAGAAGTGCACATCTAGAGAGGGAGACAGCTGCAACAGGGACACACTTACTTAACACGTTGTGTGCAATGTTGTGTACTTATGAGCATTAATTTGTGTTAACAGTCATCCAGTGTTGTCTGAAATAATGAGAAGAAACATTTTAACCACAATAAAGTCGACTGATCCCTCACCATCTGCAGCTACATAGCTTTGGACCGGCTCTATCCTGGACACTATTTCTGCAAGGTCAGTGAAATCAGCTGCTGGACACGTGCAGGACTGCAAGACAAGAAATGTGTATATTATTATGTATAAACATTTACATACTTAGTTATTTATGGTATACGTGTGTGTGTGTGTGTTCGTCTCACGTCAGTTCTCTTGCTATTGTTGTAGTCAGCTGAGCGGTGGTCCTTCAGCATGTTCTGGATGATGTCACCTCGGGCCCAGCCAGTGAATACCAATTTGCCATGCTGGAAGCCCACATCCTGAGGTGAAAGGTGATTTCAACAGTTTTGAGTCATCACATACTTACTATATACTGCATTACATTTAGTCTCCACTCTTTTAGATTGGGTGTCCAAATTTTATCAGTGTGTAATCTTATGCACTATGTGGTGCCTTCAGCAGATCGTTATCTCATTTGTGTCCGAAATCTTAATTAACTGATCGATTAAATACTGACTGCCAGCTAACAAAAATAAATGAGTGAATTAAAGAACTAAATTCATCTTAGGGCCATATTTAGAAGGTAACTCACATAGATCTCATCAAACTTTCCAAAGTCCATTGTCTTGAAGCGGTCGATGGGTGGTCTGATGTACTCGCAGTAGGCACTCTTCTTCACCACCTCCAACTGTCGCACACAGGACACATACGCCAGCCGAGACTGGATCTCTGCCATGTCTGGCACCTGCAGACATGGAAGGGGAAAAAAAAAATTCACTACAGACACCAGAGGAAATGGTCAGAGGGGTTAAGAACAGAGCACTCTGTAGTTATAATCTTGCTGAGTCATTAAAATGACTAGTGCTTTGTGCACCCCACCAGTCCTGTACCTTTACTTTCTCTGCCCAGGGATTGATCCGTTTCCACAGTAACCACCAGCCAGACAGGCAGTCGCCATAGTTACAGAGGTCAGTCTCATCTTGGCTTCCCACGTCAATGGCAATGACTGTTCTGGCACCCATGTTCCTCGCAATGTCCGCTGTTTGATGCGTAGCGTATACACCAAAATTCACACACACACGTGCACAGACGCACAAACACAGCACGAAAAAAATCCAGCAGCAGAGATGGTCAGACAACGACTTGTTTCAGGGTCATCTCACTTTCTTTAAACCTTCACTTAATGAGCCATAGTGTTCAAACAGACCAGCAACACAAAAACGTCACTGTTTTAACTTGTCGGACACTTCAGGGCATTTAGAGTAAATTTGTTTCAGAGAGCACTGGAATTTAAAAAATACATATAAATGTAAAGTTTCCTGTCCAGCACAGCGCCTGACGTCATAACATTTCTCACTGACTTGTCAGCCTTAAAATAAGCCTCCGGGCAGTGAGCATTTTTGTGGTGCTGAGACTATTCAAAGGCAGAAACTGGAAGTCATCCCACAGGCCCAAAGCACTGATCCAGCGTGCCAAGAACAACTATAGATGCAGCTGATGGAGCAGAAACAGCAGAGCAACAAACTTCAGAAATTAAGAATGCTTATTTTACCAGGCTCCTTTTCCCTGGATCAATCTTTGGGCCCAGAAAGAACCATATTTCACAAACCTCTGAGACGTGTATAGCTCAGGAGATAATGAGACACGATTCTCAGACCAAACATAGAATTACAATATCTCAGCACAGAGTTTGGTGAAATATGGCTTTGTTTCATCAGTACAGAGAAAAATGTTTATCAGAAATACACACACAGACATTCAGGGGAGTTTTGTCTGCACATCATAATGAAAACCAAAAATCATTTATCACCTAACTCTTATTTTACGTAAACTTTACAAAGATGTTTAAATTTTGTTTGCAGCAAATCCTTTAAAATACTTTCAGGAAATGTAGATGTATATAATGGTTCAGACAAAAACACTTCCCGTCTCACAGACTCCACTCATCTGTCCTCTCTGGTTAAAGAGGCAAACACCGATTTCAGAAGTGAGCTTCAGCATAATAAACAGATATGTAGAGCTGGGCGATAAGGATGAAATCATTCATCACAATTTGAATAAAGATATTGTGTGATATTAGATTTAATCAGTATATGGGTAATGTTTTTGCAGGTTACCAAACTCCTTGTATGACTTGTTTTGTGGATATTTAAATTACAACTTGCTTTTGAGCAATTAATTTGGAAAACAGAAATTATACGATCAGAAAATTAAAACATAATTCTGCTAAAAGTTGATAAATGTTAACATCGAAGTATCACTCAGCCCGACACAAAAGTGCTCATTTCAGTATGAGGGGAACTTTAACCTCGAAGCAGACTGGTGTCATGTGTCTCAAAAATGTCAAAAATGTCTCAAAAATTACTTTATTTGTTAAATTTTTAATTTGTTTAATTTTAATTTCACACACATCTGACGCCAGGCTGTTTGAGAGGCAAATAAAACATCCCCATATGAAGTGTTTTATTTAACTTTTTCAGTGTTTAATTTTTTTAAAACCTACAACAGTGAATTATTGTCAGGTTGCTGACTTTTCCCCATCTAGTAAAACACTGAACTCACTCATTTTATTTTTTTTATTATCATTTTTGTTTCAGTAGATAAATTAATTAATTAATGATATGAACCAGCTTTATCTTCAGACGGGAAAAACTCAGACCTTCCTCCACCAGTATTAGGAATATATACTTACCCAGCCTATCATTACTGCTATCTTATTTAAAACCCCTCCTAAAAATAATCCTCATCCCTCGCTCCACCGTCCCACTCCTCTGGGGGACAGGAGTCGGGGTGGACACTAAAGGATCTTACAGTATTTTGATGGAGGGGGTGAGGGGGGTACCACCTCTACTTGCCTGGCAGATTGTTGATGTAGCCACCGTCCATTAGCAAGTTGCCATCTTTGGGGTCGCAGAGAGGCGGCAGGTACCCTGAGAGGGTCATGCTCGCCCGCACATAGCGCCACAGAGAGCCTGGTACACCAGGGAGGAAGGGAGGGAGGAAGGGAGGGAGGAGGGAGGGGAGGGGGGATAACAGCTCAATATTGTTTGCTACACGTTATTAAGTTAGTGTTGACAGACCACAATCCCAATGCCTGCTGGGCCAGGCTGGCTAAAAGAAGGTAGCAGGTCCCCGCAAAGGCTTTTAGGACTGTGGCTCTGCTCACCTTTACACTCTGTTGTGCACCACTGCAAACCTCATTACCTGGCACAGAGACCCTGTGACCTGTGCAGAAGGTAAGTAAGTAAACGGCAACCATCACAGAGCACCAAGGCTGTTTGAATCTCCAAACTATGTCCCAACAACAGCGCTTTGAGGCACCTAATCAAATGAAATATTTCTGCAGAATCCACAGATACCGAGAATAACCAGATTCTGTGGCTTAAAGTTGATGTCAATGTGTCAAGAGAAGGAGCAGCAGCCGGTGTTGTGACAATGTTTGGAGACGTGTGTCACCATGAACATGGCAGGGAAGCGCCAAGCCTGCTCAGTAATGCAGTACATTCGCTGCCAGCAGGGGGCATGAGCAGGCTGGGCGCTGCATGGGTTGGAAGGATAAGGAGCACCGCAGAGAAAAGAAAGGGGTGCAACTGTGTGTGGAGTAAATACTGAGGTAGAATTATTCTACTGGAATACTGTTGTAGAGGAAATACTACTGCCTATTTCCATTTCTTTACCCTATATTTAAATTAAAGGCTTTATTCAGTTTTTACAGGGGGCTAAGATGGGCAACAGCAGGATCCAGAACACATATCCCC